GGCCACATCAACAAGCTGGCCTCCACTTTCCAAAACCCAGATTGCAGAGGATAACACGTTGGTCATTAGCATTTGTAGCTATAGTATTGTACACATGACGCTCTTCAGCTATACACAGGACAAGCCTGGCGTCAGAAGCTTTGGTGAAAAAAAATTGCCTGCCTCATCCATACGACCGATCGAGTCCTCTGGCCAGGTGAGAAATTGAGGTTTTCGAGACGATGCCGAAGATACTGACCGCGATATAGGGCGGTCATCGAAGCGGAAGTGTCAATGCTACGGCTTCCCCCCACAAATCCTTGCGTTCGGCGAAATTTTGAAGACTTTCGTTCTGAGTCTGCCCGTCTTTGGCAATGAAGGGAAATGTACAGAAATCCCGCCCGGGAGAGCGAAGCTTTGAGCGCGAAAAGAGAATGGGGGAAATCTTCCAGGATATGTATCAAGACTGCTGCCTTGCTATTTGTCTTTAGTGCTACTAACCGGGCGAGGGTTGCCGAGGTCGGAAGCAGTCCGTCAAACATGGAAGCTAAATTCCTAAGGACCTGCCCCTGCCTGCGCAATACTGAGACACTTAAGCCTCCTATTCTTTGACGAAGGTACGATGAGGATCCGCTTGAAGAAATGCCATATTGTTCCGAGATAGCCATTTGGCCCCGCCCTCCTTAAACATCGATTAATGACCTGTCCCCGTCAATATCACAGTCTATTGTGGCAATGGTCTCACTGAAGAGTTATCTCAAGAGACATCCACCTTCTCGCTCTTCTATAAAGCTGGGACGTGTTCCCCGAACAGTATGAACTACCTGGTCTCCTGCATCTGTTCATAGCACTGAAGACGTTAGTGGGACCACTATCATTGTCCAATCAGTAAGCAACTGGACATTTTGACCCAGTGACATCGGTACTTCTGGGTTCATATCACATGTCCATCTGCGGGGACGTTCCATGTCGGCCTTGCCTGACGCCCGCCTTTAGAAGCATGACATGAATAGGGAAAAATCCTGCGTAGCAATGGTCAATGGGCAAACGCATTCTAGTAAGATGACTGGTTTCTTCAATCTGGTATAGTCCGCCACCCTATGTCCCTAAACAGGCAAGAAGAGCCATCAAGAACCCTCTTAGTACCTAGCGGTTATGGTAATTCGAGAACAATAATGAGACCTCTTAGCAATCACCCAAACCACCAGCTCGCCCATTTGGCGACTGCGTTTTGATGGGTCGAATATGTATTGCCATGAGGTACCCTGGGCTGACCTCGAGGCCTCCCAGCTGGCAGAGCCTCTACGCGCTCCGCAACCTAACCGCATCTCCTTTCAGTTCGTGTTGTCTCGTAATTCTGTCGTCTTTTATAAATTTGTAGTGACCCAGAAATGGTTCTTGTTTCTATCAGTGATGGCTCGTGTGAAGGCTCATGTGCGCCACCGTCATCCCCAGCTCCTGGCTCAATCCCACACTGGCGCACCTCAGACTCCCGTAGCCCTTATAAATTCCCGGGACTCATATGCTTCCCAACCAGACTCAATTATGTCCCTAAGATGACTTGTCAGAATCGCCGTTACGTATCTGTGCAGGGACAGGAAACTCACGCATCAGTGCAGTACAGATAGATGGCCTGGGCACGGCAAAAGCCCAGAAACAGGTCCCTGTTGTTTTTGCACCTGAACTCTAGCAAGAGATCTTCTCTCAGCTCGCCACTATCCTGGAAAACGATGTCAACCTTGAGTGTTTCCTCGGCCCACCATATACTCTCGATTGCGCCAAATCCACTTGAAAGTTGTTCGGATCATAGATGCTTCCGGTAGGGCTCTTGTCTGCTTCGGCGAGCAATTGATGCTTGAAGTGCGGGTTGCCAATATCGGGAACCCAACACCAGGACTGTCTCAAACTAGTGCCAACAGTTTGCGCACAGCATTTGATCTGGTTCAACTGCCAACTATGACTGAGACTTGGAGATCGATACAGTCTTCAGTGTCTGTGAGTTCATTGCCATCAGGATCCAGACCAGAAGCCCCTACCATCTTGCACGTTTTTGGTGGCTTCTTGTGTGTCTTCGTCTTCTCCTGGTGTATGGCATTGCTGGGAGCAGTGGGGTTGGGTCCATGAGCTGGAACAGGCATTGGACAATGAGCGCCATAGACGGTATTGACGTCGTTAGGCAGTCCATCGGCGGTCTCGTCGACCTGAGCAAGTCTTGGTCTGAGTCAGGATGATGCAGGAGCTCATAAAGAGCGACAGCGGCGATCGCTATCTCTTCCGTTATGCATACATCTGAGTGGTGGCCTCTTACCATCGTTGAGGTTGGGGGCCATGGCGAAGGTAAAAGCTGAAACTGTCGGGAACGTGGTGGGAGGGAGGGTGAGAAAAATCTCAGAGGTTGAGCGTGAATCAATAGGGGGGAACGTGGTAATAAATATTTCCACCAAGTGTTCAAGAAGGGCGGGAGAGGTAGCGCAGCAGTTAATGGCGAATGCATAAACCCACCAAAACTGCGGTTCGGGTTGGCAATGGAGTGCGGGCCGAAGTCATCCAGGGCTCAGGGCTATCGGGCGTACATTTCGCCCGTATTCATGGTGGGAATCATGCTACAACGAGGTCGTGGCGCAGCCCGTGATTCAATTGATACAAGCTGTCCTTCACTTGGTCGATGGACTAGCAGGCCTTCCTTGGACGTGACGAGTGAGCAGTGTTGCGGTCAGGTATCTGACAGTGGTGTTTTCTGCGAATATCAGCAGGGTAGACCCTTCGAAATGTTGCATATCCTCCCCCCCACCTCAAGTCTGCTCAGCTTTCCTCATTTTTAACTCTTCACTCTCCCTGGAACTAAGCTTTCTGCTCTGATGAGTAGACAATTCTCCTTGTCGGTTCCAGCCGAACACCCCAAATCCTATCATTAAGGCCGCGGCTGACGATGGGTTCCCTCCCCTCAGTATGCAGTGTTGCTCGGGCAGGAATTCGTGTCGCCTCAGCCGCTATAAAAAAAGCAAGGAAATTCTTTGCTCCTTCTTCAAAGAAGGTTTTTTTTTCCCGCCAAAGTCCAATTTGCTCTCTATGTATTGAGGGGGGCCGACTGATGTCCAGCCAATGCAGCTTTGGGAGAACTTTCGGAGCTGTCTGTCGTAATTGAAACAATCAAGACGCTCAAGAACGCATGTAGCGCCGCAAAATATAGGACTAAAGATTTCTTCTCGACAACGAATGCGAATACTCCAGGTGCAGTAACTTTAATACCTTCTTCGCAAAGGTGAAGATGTTCTTTCTGTTGCTGCCTCTTGCTATGCAGGATGGTTATTGCATGTAAGTGGCACCGAAACCTCTATGAAACATATACCCGCAACCAGCTAACTCGGTGGGCCAAAAGGAAAGCCTTTTTTTTTTTGATTTTTTTTTGAGAAACCGTGGGCACAAAGGATCAAGGGCCTAACCGCTATCGCTTTCAGTCTTGGCCTTGGCATTGTTGTACTTGGTTTTCTCATCGCACTTTGCTGCTGTTTGTTTGGCTTCCTTGTTTCTTATTTTCTCAGGCCTATTTGTCAGGAGCCGGAAGGAGGGCACCGGGGGGACATCGGTCGGGCACCGGCAGGAAACCGGAGTGGGGCCGTCAAGCAAACCCCACTTCCTCACAAGGAGAGCGCTCGTGCAGCCCCGAGGATCATCCGATTGGGTACCAATGGCTGGTTGGTCACATTGCACTTGACTTGGTTGTGACATGCGTGCATGAACCAGGGGAGGAGGTGGACAACTCAGTCCTGGATTTTAACGGTTTCCGGTCTTCCATGTTACATAAGTCACCGCTCCATTAGGGACCAGATTAGTGAGAAAAACCGAAGGTGCTCCCTCCCACGAGCAGTATACTGCAGGTGCATCCGAAAGGGGATTGCTGCCTCGATGTGGACTTTCCAGGTATGTAACTGGTGCTGACAATCATCGTAACCGCCCCAAAATGGTTCGTTCTTGGAATTTCGCGAAAGCAGCTACGCGGGCGCCTAAAGTCGGCTTAATATCCCCATCTGACTCGCCATAGGGATATGCAGTCTCATACGGCTGTATTTAGGCCATTGCGTTATCTTAGAAACATAGAACTAGGAATCATGTCTGGAACAAGAGCGCGCAGCTGTAGTGTTTAAATCCCTCGGGTTGGGTTCAGAACATGCTTCCATGTTCTCAGGTTCCAATCTGGCGTCATCAGTGCGTGACAAGACCACGCTATGTCATGCACAGAGATGAACATGGACGTGATAGCGGATGGCTGCATCTCCCCCACATCACAGTGGAGGTGGAGCAAACTTCCGGCATCAAGTCGGGATGCCGGCCAACCATGAATGGGGGTGCGCTGGAGAACAGGACGGAGATAACACGAACGGGACATAATCGGGAAGCGGCCCATGCTGTCCAGCTCTGGGCGGTCTGTACCTTGTGACACACCTCCCTGGCCTATGGTCTTAATCAACCGCTCATGCGATGAGCCAGTACTTTGCATATCGGCCATGTTGCATCCGACCCTACAGGGTAAACGTCGGTTGGAAGTTGAGTTGGCCGATTCATAGTCGGCAAGTCTTCGACTCAAGTCACATAGCAGGCTTCAAGATGGCATGCCAAAAATACAACCAAACCACGGGAATCCGAAGCGAGACGGCAGACATGGAGGAGTAAGCAGGAAATGGAGACATCACTTATGGGCTTCGAGGAGACAAGGACACAAGGTCAGCAATGTATATGTAACCAGTGTAGGTGCCCTTTCGGCTTCGCCGCCGGGCGTAATGAATTGTGTGTGTGTGTGTGTGTGTGTGTACAGCACCAATGGGGGATTATGAATCGAGGGGGTTGCCGTCCCAAGTTCTTCGTGAGCTGAGATAACGAAGGTATGCCTTCAATAGATGTGTTCTGTTATACTTCGTAGGAGACTTGCAGGCGTTGGTTTTGCCCTAACCAGGTTGGCGGGGGAAGGTTGGGAAGAGGATATTCCCGGACAGTAAAGTGCGCTGAACACACTGTTTGATGCCCTACGGCTGAGCCTGGCGACTCGCTCGAAGCATCAAGAGAGGGCTGCAAAGGCCATCAATCTCGGTTTCGATGTAGTCGACATCTAGGGCGTCGTGGAGATCCTCCAACGGCAGGTCTTCAGAATCGTCGATGAGGGCAGCGTCGGTAATCTCGCAGACAGTAAGCGGCCGGAGTGTGAATGCTGCCAAACGCAGGAGGGCAAAGGCACGGGCTTCTTCCAGCTCTCCATATTGCGTGTTTTGCTCCAGGCGAGATCAGAGATGGTTGAGTCCGGCCGGGCTGTGATTGATGGTCTGTTGCAGCTGTTTGGAGTTCATACCTTTTCTTAGAGTGGGCTCTTGCATCATAAGCCAGAGGAACCGGCCTTCACATCGAATGGCCATTGCTTTGGAGAGAGTTGACCGCACATCATCGCCTTTGTTAGGTAGCTTCCTGTCGACGATCTCCTGTGCAACAGCAGTCGTGTCTGGCCGTACGTCGTCAGGAGATATCTTGTACTCAGTGATGCTGTCGAGGGCGTTGTCTGTGACAGCAGATCGGATCTTTTGCTCGTCGCGGCTTACTAGAAGGATCCTAGTGTTTGTTCCAGAAATGGCATCTGCAACAAATCGAAAGAACGCCGTGAGCGAGGTGTTTCCTTTGTCCGAAGAGACACACTTATCCAGTCCATCAGCCACGCAGATACAGTCAGGAACAATGTGAAAGAGTCGCTTGAAGATCACCAGGGTAGTGGCACGCGTCAGAACGGGATCGGAGTCCGCTTCCCACCTTTGACGGACGTATTCGAACGCATCATCATGACGAGACACAATCTGAGAGATCCATGCTCGTATGATTGAAAAAGGGTTATCACGGGTCTCGAGATCAGAGAAGTAGTGGGCGACAGGCGTTTGGGGTGTGGAAGACAGGTGCTCGACGATGCGGGCGCAGAGGATCGTTTTCCCGCATCCCGGCGGCCCATTGATCCACAGCAGCTTCGCGTTTGTATCCGGCTCTGGGGAGAGCCATCGTGTGAACGCTGGTCGTGAGAAAATCCAGTCGCCGGTACCCACCAGTCTCCGTTGAAGGGAGTCGTGATAGCTGTCGTTCGGGAGGCGTTGACCAAGCCACGAGTGAATTTCTCGTCGTGTCTCAGCTTGGTAGCGTTAGTCCTGGCCTCGAAGATACAAGCGCGGCCTTACCTCTAACTACGTTTTCGATTCGTACCAGGATCTGCAGCACCTCGGCAGACAACCCGCTGCTTGAGAAAGTCCCTTGTCCCAGTTAGAGAAGAGCCTCAGTAATACTTGGAAACCTTACCTAACACATCCGTGTGAGTGTCTGTCAGCCTAAGGTCCGGGTTGCGTATCTGCCGCGCACCCTGTGCAGTTCGTGGCGGCACAAGGTTGTGCAATTCCTGTACTAGGTTCTCGAACAGACTGATCCTCTCTGCGTGTTCCTCCTTGCCCCAGGAAGCCCATGCCTGATCGCATATGAATTTGATGATGAAGCGCAAAAGGCCGCGCACAGCTGGATATGCCTCCGTTGTCCAGCGCGGGGTGATGATCGTCCAGCAGTCTCCCTTGATCGATCCCTACACCTCGTCCCCACTGCTCGAAACAGGCTCTGGCGGGATTGAAAATGGTATCTTGCACGTCTGCATCAGCCCGGGCTGAACGATACGATTGCACCTTGTAATGGCCTCTAGACAGGAACTGAAGAGACCAGCGAGCTTGACGACGCCAACAGCGAAACCAGCAGGCTCCATCGTTGAGTGCTGCTGTAACGAGTTGTCGGCGAAGGGTCGATTACCGTGTTACCCTCAGCGGCCTTTCTTCCTTTAATAGGCGGTCGGAAGCGCTGTTCGTAGGCAGCGGCGGGGCGCCTCACAAGGCGGTTCGAGGTGCATGCTGACAATATCACTTGCGAAGCGGGGCTAATTAGCCAGGGGTTTGTAGGGCAATGTCAAAAGACCCAAAGTGTACAGTGAAGTACTTCCGTGCACATCCACTGACATCCCAGTTCTAAGCTCATCGCCATCGGCAAAAGTGCGCGAGATTGACTGCATTGACTGCAACCCTCAAGAGGAAGCGGGCATAGTTATGTCTTGGATGACCATTCGTTGTTAACTTCTGGAGTAAGGTGGACTGTCACCACCGACGAATCTACTCACTGTCAACAATCGACATTATGGTTCCTAATGGGTGCTGCGCAGACTGATTGCTGCGATCGGCAATCACTGCCGGCCTCTGTGACAAAATTAAGCCAGGCATCGCCAAAGCTCGCCTGTTGTGGCAACAGGACGACTCGATATGCAGGTCAACCAAACGCAGGACAAGAGTAACACAACATCACATCACCAACACCAACCACCGATTGACCCCTCACGCACCCTCGTGCCACCGACAGCAGGACTCGCTTCAGCCGCCGAAGATAGGGACCTGAACACTTGGAGGAAGTGCTCCAAGAGGGCCTGCTACTAACCTTCACGGGAAATCGCAATCGTCGGAAGGGGTATTCAAAGATGACGCAGACGGAAGTGGATCGTAGACATGGGCTTATTTCGAGACCAGGGTCATAATTCAACAAGGGCAGCAATGTACAAGAGCCCTTTATGGCTTAGCCAGGGCGTAATAAACTCTGTGTGTGTGTGTACGGCTTGTGGGTCAGGCGGCGTTCTCTTTGCTCTCCTCGGTCGCGTCCCCCCTGGCACCACGTTTGGGGTATGAGCCGGGCCAATCATTGAAGCAGCTCGGCTGCTCCTTGGCGAAGGGCATTGCTCAGCGACCGAAGGCACGGCTGCTTCACCGCTTTCATGGCTTAGCGCCTGCACTACGACTCGAACGGGCAAACACGGAGTCTTTTTCGGCTCTGTGCCGCTGGAGTGCGATTCATCGAAGCGGTGCAAGTGGCCTTGCTTGCTTTGATAGTACCGAAACGCGCTCAACCCCCGTCCAAGACTTCGGGGTACGCCAAGCTTGCAAGCCTCTTCATGCCATATGCCAAAGCCAAGTCCCGGAAGTTAAGCGGACTGGCCGCGATTTCCTCATACCGCCATGCGCTGGTTAACACCAAGATTGCCTGCAGTGCTCACCCGTGCAGTGCCACACCATACTCGACCGGGTGACCCGTCGGCGAGCGGCTCCATCCGCAAGGATATCCCAGCCGGGGCTTTCTCCTGGAGTCCCGGACGATGATCACGACCTCTGAGTCAGAACGCGATGGGGTTTAGCTGACGCCGACTGTTGGAAATCAATTGATGTCTTCAGTTTTTCCTCTGGACCGCAAACTAGACCACAGAACCCACACTGTCAATAACTCAATGTCGCACCGCATACGGCTCCACATCGTCGCTTGCTATCCTTACCCTTTGAGATCCGCTCTGATATCTCCCAGCATGGCCATCACATTGGCAGAGCCCTTTTCGCAACCCCGGTGATGCATTCTGCCTTCCGCTTGGGGGAACTTCCGGCATCTTGTGCCGCTGTTTCATTACCAGCCATTGTGTGATCGACCATCATTCAATTTACAGCCATCTCCGCCAAGGCCAATAACGGAGCGAGACAGAGTCCTGGGAGTTCGGGTCAAGCAACAGAGCCGTGTCGAGGCCCAGCGGCGACAGCGGCCACGGCGACACGCGCGACCGCGCTAGGTCGTCGTACTCTAGGCTTCGTGTCAGGCGACTCCAACGAGTGGCCGAACAGGTGCTGTGGGGGCATTCAAAAGACGTTGACTCCGCACCAAGCACCCGCCGATAAATAGATCGCCTCGCCTAAACATGTAGACCTGCTGTTCGCAATTCCATCTGCTCTTTTTTGCAACCCTCGCACAACTCATCGCGCAATGGAGCAACCCAGTCGTAGAGAGTGCACCGTTGATCGCATTCTATCGAGCGTCTGTGGCATCTGTCATACCGCGTTCTCGGATCAATCCACGCAAGGTTACCGTCTTCTTTATAGCGTGGAATGGGGGAATACACATTATTTTGGTATCTCCGAACCAGGACGCGTCCGGTACATCAAACGACATATTGGCCCAACTGAAATAGTGTTCGATGTCCCAATCGACAGGGAGCAGCACTTTCCCGGAGTCATCAGAGGTTTCGGGATTCACTCGAAATGTTTCGATTTACTTCAACCGCGTATTACAGGGGAGGACCTTAACTTTGACGAACATATCCCGACTTTATGGCAGGCAATGTGGTCCTCGTGCCTCCAGCGTGGAGTTCTTAGGACGAAGACTGCCGCTACCAACGACTCGATCCGACCTGTCAAGCCTGAGAGCAAAGCCGATGAGCTTGCCCACATGGTCAACATACTCAGCACGTACAAACTTTTTGGCGTTCGGTACTACCACCCCGTAATATCGGAGCAGGAAGAGGCATGCGTTATTTCGCTTCGCCAGAGCAATCAACGAGAGGCGTTCGGAAGTATGCTCCAGTCTGCTTTGGAACACAGATGCGTGGCACTACCCGATCGCAATGTGAAAGAAGTCGTGGTATCGATGTTCTCAATTGAGGGTACGACAGAGTATGTTTCTGGCCTTCGCTTCGTGTTTGAACGATATCACGAGGAAGTCGCGATTGGATACATTGGAGGCGAAGGAACCAATTTGCTCTTTGAACCGGCGCAGCCGCTACATCAATTGACGGCAACTTTCCACGGTCGAGGGTTCGTCAACATCGTCGTAAATAACCTGGGTCCGGATGTCGGTCGAGGGTTCGTCGACACCGAGAACAATAAGCAGGGTCAAGAGATCGAAACGATATCGATGAATCTCCAGGGAAAGCGCTCTTTGATGGCTCTACTCGACGGATCAAGAATAATTGCCCTTGCTGTGTCGCCAGTTTCAGTGCTGAAGTAAGACACAGAACAGGGGTAGGGAAGCCTGCGAAAGTCTCATGATGTGGGAATAGTGGCATGATACGACCGTACGAGTAGGTCACATTACGGGTCGGCGTTAGAGGTCGGGCTTAACCCGGCGCTGGGCAAATCCTCGGTCACAATGTCCCCGTACGGGGACAGGACAGATTCTGCATTACACCTAGCCTAGCTTGAACTTAAACGAAGCTTCCGGAATAGAACTCTTTGTTACCCCTGCGTACAAGTATTAGATGAGTGATCCGGGGTGCAACACGGCATAGCACGCTGTGGCCCAACCTTGGCTGTTGGAAGGGCCAAGCGGTAAGAAAAAATGGCCAGAGCGCCATGCGCTGCCACAAGCGGCTCTGTGGGAAGACTTCGGGCTCGATCTTCCGTCTACAGCACTTCTGACCCGGTGTTGGATGAAACAAGACAAGCGCGCTTAGTCACTGAGAGAGGCGACATGGGAAGCGAGGTTGGATAACGTCAGGTAGCTTGACAGAGATTAGGTCTGCTTCACTGGACGTGAAAGGAACGGTGGCAACTCGACCACCTCCCTGGTCACACTGTACAGTTTACCTCACTCTTGGCGAGAATGGGTTCATTGGCACGCAGTGTGGCGGGCGGCCAAGGTTCTGGCAGCCATTGGCGTGACGCCTGGTAATTGTGAGTCGTGCTCCATCAGGTCTGCCGAGTATTGTCGGTGCGGGATCTGCCCTGCTGGCCCCGCTTCCGGGATATTTGACAGCGTTCATCGTCGCCGCAGTCGCTCATCACTATCCTTTGCAGCTTCATACTAAGAATACCACAGTATGCATGTCATGAGACAAGCGCCGTCCGTGGTTGGCTTCCCAGCACCAACCCCTCACGTCGACGCCAACAAAGAGGCTTATTGACCAAGTCGAGTTGGCTATCTTCTCACCCTCGAGCATCCGATAGCAGGTTAAGCATAAATTCTTCCATGTCAGACGACCGCTCCTCTTATTCAATCGCTACCCTTACAGCGGCCCGACCATCAATTTAGTCATCAGGCGGTGCGCAGCCATTCGTGTCTGTCTCGCCTTCCGAATCTGAAGCCGACCTGGACCGGTCCCGAGTTTACCAAAGGGCGGGAGGAAGCAATTTTAGCTTTTCATCTAAGGAATATTTCGCAACATCAAAAGCTGGTTCTGTCTTTTCTGGTATCAGTTTATTTGACATCTCTGTCCTTTCGACCCTTGCTGTTCCTGTCTATCCGGGTGAGATCTCGAATGCTCACCATTATGTCTTCTCGGGAGTCAAGACTTCGAATGCAATAACTTAGCAATACTACGCTTCTACTGTAGCGCCGCCTACAACAGCCACGTTCTGCTGGATCTTGGAAAGCTCAGCAGATAGCTCCGGAGCACCACCGTACAAGGGTGGGCTCCTGTCGATGTTATCCCGGCTTTCTTCGTCCCCGAGTACGTCAAGAACCTAGCCGCTTGCGAGCTTCTGTAGCAGACCGGCTGGTCAATGATAAAGACAAAGGCAGGGTCATCACGCGTGACAAGTAGACGACTTGAATACATAACTTTGCGATCTCAATCGACAGAATCCTATAGTGTGTTATACTTACGCCGCTATGGAAAATACAAGGCAAGCTTATCTCCTTTCGTACTCTCCCGAGCTCGGACCGACGGCATTACAGGCGGACATCATAGCACTTAGGCTTTTGACGCACCCGGTTCGTATGAACAATTGGCTAACTACCCGCTGCTGTCCGACTAGATGATTGAATTAACGCCGCGCTACCTTTGCTACTAATCTACTGGCTCTTTCTGGCCCATAGTCTTACCTCTTCTCTATAGATGGAAGTTGCTGGCACTGTTGGTATCATCTGGGCAACCAGCCGGGAAGAAGGTCACTACCGTTAGATGGTGTCAACCCTTGATGGAACCCTCGTCGCTCAAAATTACTGCCTTCAGCTACTCTAGGTCTCCCCACGCGCAATGCTTCGTTTTACTAGGAGTTCGGAGGGTATACATATACAGGCCCAAACCGCGCCGCCTCTCTGCCTTCCTAAGATATGCGTTATTTGCCATGCCGTTCACCGACTTGGCCGTATCAATGATGAAACTAAGGCCGAAAAGGACGCTGAAGTTGAACTCATCATCGTCAAGGGTGTACCTGAGCTAGGCGTCCTGAGGTAGGGTGTATTGATTTTTGGCGGGCTTTGCGTCGGGAATGGCTTCGTGGCTTTGATTGGACTCCTCAATACCATTTGGGAGGTTGCGCTAGAACAAGGCTATATGTTGGTACACCAGGGAGCTGAGACAGCCGTCGGCGGCTCTAGTGGTGTAGATAGTGAAGGTAACAGCCCTCAATCGCGGGAGTGGCCGGGCCTGGCCAAAACCGGTGCCCAGCTGGAGCTGTCAGACCACCCAGGAGCAAAAGTAAAACAGAGGAAGGGAAAGCAGTAGTTGAGATATATTGTGTTGCGTAGTTATGCTTTTAGGAAGGTGATAGGTGGTCAGGGAAATGGTGACAACTTGTATGCGTATCTTGTGCGATTGATTCTCTACCTACGGCTTCCAGAACCGTACACATGCAACTTTCTTTTTTAAGAATGACTCCAGCACCTCAAAAAGATCCTCCTCTTCCTAAAAAAGGGAGAAATATCGTCAAATGTAGTTGTAGGAGAGCTCGCGGTGTTAAGGGTTAAGTAACAGCCCTTACAGATCATCCGCGGTTCGGACCCACTCAGCCAGGACGCGCCTCTGCGAAACTGAAGAAAGCTAGAAAAGTAACGCTGGACCTTGGCGGGGACGGGCTCCTATTTTTGTTATGTTCATGGAAGTAAAATTTCTCTCCAAAAGGCACCCCAGCGATAGACTAACAGACTATTTACCGGGCAGGACCAGTAGACGATGGAACCAATTCAGGGCCAGATGAAGAGAAGGCATAACCATATCGATAACATCCAGCGTTTTCGGTTATGCAAAATGTCAAGGCAGGATATTTCAAAACGTTAATTCAAGTCTGCTTAATGGTATGTGAAGCTGGGTGGCAAGAAATCGAGCGAGGACTGGCCTTTCCCTCGGGGCTGCAAATGACGGGCCGCAGCAGAACGCAATTGCCACTTGATAAGGGCAACCAGAGATGTGGCACGAAAAACTAAGTGGGCTACTAAAGACGAACTCTCAGCCGCGATCTCTTTTGCGAAGCTCCTAGTGGTAAATGTTTCCATGCTGAACTTCCCAAGAATACTGAGGTGTTCCTTCCTCAGACTGAGTTGTTCGGTATTTTTACTGATATAGTCGTGGTCAATCTTAAACATTGAAACGAGACTTGGGTTTTGGTTGGTAAAACTGGCTGGTAGTGTTGCTTAAACGCTACCCTAAAATATTGTCCCGCTAACTATTTGAATGTCCTTTTCACCACTTCCACTGACGCAAACAATTACATTGTTACTATGTCCCATTGAACTCGCCGCTTCAACAGCACCATGGATGGCATGTGCGGACTCCAGCGATGGAAGGATACCTTCAAGTTGACATGTTAGCCGGAAGGCACTCAAAGCTTCCTCATCTGTTACTGTAAGAACTTCAAGGCGCCCGGAATCCTTCCAAAAACTCAGTTCAGGACCGACGGCAGGGTGATCCAGACCAGCAGCAATTGAATGGCTGTGTCTGACTTGGCCATGATCGTCCTGCAACACATATGTCATAGCGCCCTGGAAGACACCCCCTCTCCCTCTTGATAACGCAGCACTGTGTAAGGAGGTGTGAACACCACATCCTCCAGCTTCAACGCCTACCAGCCTGACTCTAGTATCCTCCAGGAACGGAGGGAAAAGTCCAACGGCATCTACACCAGTGCCGACACAGGTGACAACCGCGTCGGGTAGCCGCCCTATCTTCTCTAAGGCTTGCCTTTTTGTTTCCGCACCAATAAGCGACTGAAATGTTCGGACGATAAGAGGAATTGGATAAGGTCCCACTGGTGTACTGGCTAAATAGAATGATGTATCATCCACGACACAAGCACGCATGGCCTCGTTCATCGCGTCCCGGAGAGTCTGGCTTCCTGTCTTGCTAATAACAAGCTCAGCCCCCAATGTCATCATCTTCCTCACATTTGTCGATTGTCGTGATACGTCTTTCTGAAAATATTGATCAATAGAGCGTCAAGTCAAGGATTGTTTTGAGAATGCTCACTGCTCCAACATGGACAATGCATTCCAGGCCGAACTTCGCACATAAAGCGGCTGCGGCAACGCCATTTTCACCTGATCCCGTCTCTGTCACAATTTTTCTCTTCCCCATCCGCCTGGCGAGGAGGATTTGGCCCAAGGCGTTGACAATTTTGGACGATCCAGTATGGTTCAGGTCCTCTCGTGCAAACCATATTTTTGCGCCGTTGGCGTATGCCGTTAATCGCCCAGCCAGATGAAGACGGCCCGGCCGGCTAATGTAGTCGTAATGATTTCGGTACTCTTCCCAAAAGTTCGGGTTGCTGGCTTCTCTGATGAAAGCGGTCTCGAGCTCTGACAGAAATGCCATAAAGCTTTCTGGTACGTATTGCCCCCCATAAACTCCATAACGCTTGGATAGTGCCGACATATCTGCGGTAGTTGTTGTTGGCGATTGCCGTCGTTGCCCTCAACGACACCACAGAGTACCAACAGGCCGCTAGTGTGCAGCAAAGGACTCGTATTTTTGCGCGCGTAGCCCCTCGGGAGCAACAGCACGTTGCAGTTCAGAAGGTGAACAAATTTTTTTATCCGTTTGTGTAAACTAGCCGGATTGAATGTGTCGCATGACGCTGTGTTGCACTGTAACTTCCGCAGCAGACTTGAAATACTTTCCAGTAGTTGTCACGTCAACTGTCAGTATGAGCATCATCACAATTCCTTGAACCCAATCGAGGGATAGGCCGTAGCTCGTACGAAGAAAGCAGTACAGTATCAAATCCTACACAGCCCACTCCGCATGTATTAGAGATAAAAGTAATCAAGCTGTCAAAGGCGTCTCTTTGGCA